AATAACTCATTTTTCAAGAGTGTATCATTAACGACTAATTCCAACAAATGTGGAGCATCACTACTCCTAGATGCTACAAAAATACCTCCCAAAGCACAAACTTTGTAATAACTGATGCAAGTTCATTTTTGATATGGGCTGTAAAGAACAGATTATTTCAACAGTGCTCTTCCCAGCAAAGCAGACCATTAAGACTGTACTTTTTGTTTAGTTGAATTGAAAAGCTGGCCAGTTTAAATCCATAGTTTGACGTTATGTATAATCATAGGAAAAACTTACCGCCTCATATTTCCAGGTCACAAATTCAATCCTATCAATGTGCATTACTTTTTGACAAAAGTTAACTTCAGGTTCCCCCCAGATCACCAATTTACAGCTATTCAAAATCACCCTGGAAAGCTAATTCAAAATTCTAAATAAATAGGGTCTGTGTTCTAATACAATTCCATTAAAGCATAAAGTACTGTTTATGTTTCAGATTCTTCCTGTTAGAAACCATATTAAATACAAAGCCTATCAAACACCATCTAATTACTCTTTGCAAACCAGATACCATCCTTCTCTTTCAGCATTATTCTGCATACCCTCCTTTCACTCACTTAAAGAAGTATTAAAACTCCTTTGCCTTCTGAGCAGACACGTGAAAGGTCTCACTTCATTGTGGACAAAGTTAATGCCAGTCCATGAGGCAGCCAGTGGAAAACATCTTATCTTTCACATGTTGGTCACCAACATGGTCACCAGCAATGAGTCTTTACATAACCCTTGAGTGAATTTCAGTGCAGATGCAAGATACCTATATTAGATATTCCTCTGTACTAATCTAACAGTATAATTATGTTTGCCCTCTACAAAATAAACATATGCATACAGACTGAACATTTAATAGTATACAAAATGTATGCATATACATGTACGTGAGCTGTGATGTTTCAGTTTTTGTTTTCTGTAGTACCAGCAATAAACAGGAATGAGCATAATGTCTCCTCTCCTCCAAACTGACAACACGTAAGAGCTAGATCAATTTAATAATCATTAATACCAGAATTTATTTAGCATTTTTTCAAAGCCTTAGTAACTCATACAACATAGATGTAAATGTATCACTAACAGTCTCAAAACTGTCTATTTAAGTCATCAGTCAAAAAAGGGAACATTTTTTCTTTGCTTTCACATTTCTCTGAGCTCTGTCTCAGTTTTTCCAAAACTTGTTCCTAAAGAGTAAAGTGTTCTATTGAGAGGACAAAAACCCCACAAATCAGTGTATTTAAGCAATAACTCATTTTTCAAGTGTATCATTAATGACTAATTCCAACAAATGTGGAGCATCACTACTCCTAGATGCTACAAAAATACCTCCCAAAGCACAAACTTTGTAATAACTGATGCAAGTTCATTTTTGATATGGGCTGTAAAGAACAGATTATTTCAACAGTGCTCTTCCCAGCAAAGCAGACCATTAAGACTGTACTTTTTGTTTAGTTGAATTGAAAAGCTGGCCAGTTTAAATCCATAGTTTGACGTTATGTATAATCATAGGAAAAACTTACCGCCTCATATTTCCAGGTCACAAATTCAATCCTATCAATGTGCATTACTTTTTAACAAAAGTTAACTTCAGGTTCCCCCCAGATCACCAATTTACAGCTATTCAAAATCACCCTGGAAAGCTAATTCAAAATTCTAAAATAAATAGGGTCTCTGTTCTAATACAATTCCATTAAAGCATAAAGTACTGTTTATGTTTCAGATTCTTCCTGTTAGAAACCATATTAAATACAAAGCCCATCAAACACCATCTAATTACTCCTTGCAAACCAGATACCATTTCAGCATTATTCTGCATACCCTCCTTTCACTCACTTAAAGAAGTATTAAAACTCCTTTGCCTTCTGAGCAGACACGTTATCAAACACCATCTAATTACTCTTTGCAAACCAGATACCATCCTTCTCTTTCAGCATTATTCTGCATACCCTCCTTTCACTCACTTAAAGAAGTATTAAAACTCCTTTGCCTTCTGAGCAGACACGTGAAAGGTCTCACTTCATTGTGGACAAAGTTAATGCCAGTCCATGAGGCAGCCAGTGGAAAACATCTTATCTTTCACATGTTGGTCACCAACATGGTCACCAGCAATGAGTCTTTACATAACTCTTGAGTGAATTTCAGTGCAGATGCAAGATACCTATATTAGATATTCTTATGTACTAATCTAACAGTATAATTATGTTTGCCCTCTACAAAATAAACATATGCATACAGACTGAACATTTAATAGTATACAAAATGTATGCATATACATGTACGTGAGCTGTGATGTTTCAGTTTTTGTTTTCTGTAGTACCAGCAATAAACAGGAATGAGCATAATGTCTCCTCTCCTCCAAACTGACAACACGTAAGAGCTAGATCAATTTAATAATCATTAATACCAGAATTTATTTAGCATTTTTTCAAAGCCTTAGTAACTCATACAACATAGATGTAAATGTATCACTAACAGTCTCAAAACTGTCTATTTAAGTCATCAGTCAAAAAAGGGAACATTTTTTCTTTGCTTTCACATTTCTCTGAGCTCTGTCTCAGTTTTTCCAAAACTTGTTCCTAAAGAGTAAAGTGTTCTATTGAGAGGACAAAAACCAAACAGATATTTTTCTCTGTTGATTAAAAATGTATTCATAATTGCAATTTTATTTTTATGCATATCTATCACTACATTTATGACTGAATCTCAGTTTTCAATCATTTCAAACATACCATATCCTGCCATAAAAGAACCTATTAATTCTAAATACCATACAGAAGAACTAGCAGTCAGAATTTACTACTGTTTCCTCATTGACTACAAAAACATTCCTTTTCCACTTTCACATATTGCAAGAAATAGAGACCAATGCTAAAAAGGCCAAAAATATTTTGGCTTCCTTTATAGAAAGCATTTTTATAGAACATATTTAACTTAAAGTTATGGAAGAAAATAATAGAGGAAGCAGAACAGCAGTTATTTTCTTTCATATGCTTTAAGTTTCAGACATACTGGAATTCAATAAAATTATACTGCCAAAATATCAGAGATGCACAAGTCAGTTACACTGCATTTTGGCCATTACATAGTAAACTTCCAGAGAAAACATCCTTTAAAAACAAGAATACTCTTGCTGACTCAACAGATTTCAACTACTACAGTTTCTAACCAACTCCAGTTTCTATCAGCTTTTCAAAATACTGACACTATCAAAAAACTATCTAATATAACTACATACAAGTTATACCATTCAGACATGTACAAATAAATATGTGACAGAAATCCAGCCATATTCCCATTGCTACATAGAAAGCAAAGAATCTGATGTTTCTCATTGCTTTTTCTACTGAAGAATGAAAGAAAAAAAACACTGTTTTGCAAATAAATATATCATTACATACTAACAAATAGTCATATAAAGGTTTGCACATGATACCAGAACTATTTACAGTTTCCCTGTATGGTGCTGTATCTCCTTTGACTTACAACATTGCTACACCTAACCTTTCTTCTTTTCCTGGCTTCACCATATTCATACTGTAGCCTTCCAGCCAGTGCCTTAACTCCATGGAAAAAGGTGAAGTTAAATCAGAATAAAGTAATTTTCCTTTCTTATTACCCAGTCACAGTGAAACACATACCAGAACAGTCTTCTTTTACACCACTTGGAACTAAGTTAAAAAGGGCTGTGCTTCCTTACAGAGGGTACAACTTCAAAAAATGTGTTATAAACAAAGTTTCAGAACAAATTACTGTTGTCATCATTAACTCCTGTGGAACAGCTTCTTTTTCTTTCCTTTCAGAGGCATCAATACATTAAGATGGATATACCAATATTATAGAGGTATATCAGAATATCTCATAATACTTAAGAAGGTACTACAGATGGCATATTATTTGAATTTACATACTTGTTTCTACTTCCTGGGGTACGCAGAAGAATTTGGCCTGGCTGCTATTATGATAAGTTTGTTGTACTCTGTTGAAAGCTGTATCTTAAAAATTTAGTATCAGGCCCAATTGACCATATTTTGCAATTTATATGTTAAAATATTGCCTAAAAATTTTGAATTTGAAAAGTTCTGAGAATAGTCTCAAAAAATTTTATACCTCCATAGGAAATGTAGAATATGAACAACTACAACACTTAAACATACAGATTTTTTTGTTGTTGCTGTTGTAATAGCAATTATGAAAAATCCAAAATAAATGTGACTGCCTTGCTAAGGTCTCATCTTATATTAATTCCTTCAGGATCTCCTTTTCCAGTCTGAGTTAAAAAGACCTGATAGCCACATGTACATGATTCAGTGAGGATAGCTGTGAAGGTCTGGAGCAAAGCAAGGTATTCACTGTGGGCATGCCAAGGCCCCAGTGGCACTATACCCACTGACAGTGTGTGTCCTGGCAGGTTCAGCCTGTTAACACACAAAGCAGCTGAAACAAGGCTTGACCTCATGGTCCTTGACATTGTGGAATTCCTGGTTACCAAAGGAATAAAGATCATCATCCTAGTTTCAAGAAAATAGGAAGATCCAAACATCCAAATTCAGGGATTCTTCACTATTTATAATAGTGTATTTGCCTTTTAAAATTTTATTTTTCACAAGAAATACAGTCTAAAACAATTTTCAAAATACATTAGCCTAATTATCATACTCCTAATACAGCTGATGTAATGGAACTGTACAGTGTAAGTTAACTCCAGAGTTCCAGAGACCTTGGTGACAGAACCATGGTTTCATCTATTTTCATGGCAGAAGTTGAAAAAGTATGTAGGGAAATCTTAAATGAATCAGATATTGTCTGCTATCTAGTCACAACACAAGCAGTCATACATCTCAGTGAATCAGAGAAAGCAGAGACAGCTGTTTGAATTTGGATTGGTAAGCAAGAACAGCAATTCCGGGACAAAATTAAGCTTAAAAAAAAAAAAAATCCTCTTCCATTTATGACAATTGACTTGTACTTACCTGCTTCTTCTAAGCCTCAAAAAGACCTTTTAACTTCAACCTTGAACTGAAGTGATGTCCAAGATCAATTCTAGTACCACAATCCTAACAAAACAGAGAAAAATATTTACAGCTATTCAGAATCATTTAACAAAACCAACATAGAATCTGGCCTTATTATTCCCTCTAATTTGTTCTCTTACACAAGTAATAAGATTAAATGTAGTCCACAAAGTAATATAATTGTTCACCAAGTTTCTTCCATGCAGCAGAGTGACAGCTAAGGCATCACTCAAATTCTAGTCCTGTATTTTTATTCTATTTTTATTATTATAGTACTCAAGGGCAAACAAAAGGAAGGCTTCCCTGAAGTAGTTTGTTTCAGGCAGAGAACTGCACACAATATCACCACCAGTAAGTTCACAGGGTCATCTGAAGGAAGGGACAGAAGCTGGGAGACAGCATGCCAATAAAATTTAAATCTGTATGTATGTTAGGAAGGACAAAAGGACAAGCAGAAAGAAAAGAAAAAAAAAACCAAACAAACAAAAAAACCACAGCTTTGAAGCTGAGACTGGAAGACTGCAATGAAGCAGAAGGTTGGACAAGGCAGAAGAAATAAAGAACATGAGGTCTGTAGAACATTTAGATTACATCTATTCCTGAGCACATTTCTCTTTCCTGAAATCAACTAGCAGAGATAATCCTCCACCTGTGTAGGATGCAGGATAATCCTACACCTATGTAGCATAGTCATATATGCTCTGGAACAGAGCTTACACAAAAATTGTCTAATGGAGGTGCTCAAATAAATGTCTAGGAATTTTCTGGAATAATGTTAGTTTGCAAACACATTCACTGTGGCAGAGACGGGGAAATATTTCCAGGCATTGTTTAATTTACTAATATAGATACAGACTTAATGCCTGAAACTGCTATCTCTGAAGTAGATCCTACCAGCCTCTCGATGGTGCCTCTTGGCAATTCTCTCTTGCTGACAAGGTCAGACAGAAGCAGACTGAAGAGTAAAATGAATGTAGAATTTTTTAAAGAAAAGACTGCTTTCCCACAGTTTAAGAAAAAAAATCTGTGTTCCAACTGGCATTATTAATACACACTTTGTTACAAGATGTTTGGACATTTAAAAGAGCTGCAGTTCTAACTTCTTCCTTTGTTTGTAGAGTGTAACAAAACCTGCTGGGAAGGTCGAAGTTCCCAGAAAACTGAAAGCTACCTGGCAGCCTCTGTAGTAGAGCAAGTGAAGAAGGGAGAGCAAAGAATGACAGGCTGGAGAAATAAACACTACATGAAACCCCTGCACAGTAGGACAGCACTGGGAAATGAGAAGGATATCTTATGAGCTTAATACAAAGCAAAAAAGAGAAGAAAATGTTAAAAAACAAGTAAGGAACCTAAGGCAAATATGAGGAGGTGAAGGTGGGTGGCAATTCTTGCAAGTTTTCAGAAAGTAAAATCTGTGTCAATGAAACTTTGCTTGATGTTCATGTGGTCACCTTGTATCCACAATGTAAATGTCCAACCAACTGAGTGAAAAGTATTCATCTCACTGACCTATTTCCCGTTAAAAAGTTGCAGTTTTGCCTCTAAATAGCTATGCCTATGTCTTTGAAGTTTCTTGTGCACCTGAATTCTAGACCTCTAAATACATATTACAGTTATTTCTTCAACACTACATCTTGTTGACAGATAATATGTAAGCCTCAAATGCAAATATTTTATATTTCTCTTTTTTCCTGTACTCCATTACACGAGATACTTTCAAATCATCAGTTTTCTTAGCTTGGAGTATATCAAACATCACATAGTGCTTCATCTCAGAAATAAAGCTAGGACTAACACTTATTATACATGAAATCTTGTACCAAACCATGACCCATTTTATTGAAATACAGCCTTTTCAGAAGAAATCTTTCATTATAGTATTTTTTGGAAATTAGTCTTAATATGAAAAAAACCACAATCACTAATCTCAATTATTATAATTTTATTTGATCTATTTCTAGATTTCTATACTTCTTCAGAAATCAATAAGAAATATTTAAAGTGGTGAGGATGGCACAAACTAGATGTGAGAGGACACAGACAGATAGCAGGTCTTACCTACCAATTCTCTTTTTAACTATGCAAATTTTCATCTTTAGAATCTTATTTATTGACTTCTGTGTAATTTATGCTACTTTCCAGTGTGGTTTACCTGACAAAGGCAGAAGATTCCTAAAAAATAAAATTAGTTCTATTATAAACTTTGATTTGTTTTGATTTTTGTTAGCATCCTTAAACCTGGATCTGAATCATTCTAGTTATTCCAGTCTAACACCACTCCTAAAAAATAATATTAGTTCTGTTATAAACTTTGATTTGTTTTGATTTTTTGTTAGCATCCTTAAACCTGGATCTGAATCATTCTAGTTATTCCAGTCTAACACCAACATTTCTCTACCTCCCACCCCAGCTAGAAGATTCCATCCCTTGGGCCCCAGCAGGTAGAGCTTTAATTGTTTACTTGTCCCCTACTGAGAGTGCTTACAGAGATCTGTTCCCATTCTTCAACATCTAACAATTCCATCTGAACCTTAAAAATTTACAGATTCACAGACCTTGTTAACCAAAGTCTTAAAAGCATCCTGACAGAATGTTAATTGTCATAGTTATGTCAGAAATCTCTAGAATATTAAAAATTAAAGTAAAATTCATTCCTGGATAAAGACTTAGAAACTTGACTAAAATACAATGCCCATGTGCTGCAAGCTATTTCTTTAACTCATTCATTGACTTGCTGCCATCACCTCTTAGCTTATTCCACATTTAGATCACAAATCTTTAGGATAATTTTGCCTGTTATATGTTTGTACACTGCCTCTAAGGTAATATTTTGATTTGAGACCATGTGCTTTTATTCTTTATCCTGCCTTATTGGTGGTCTTTGGTATTTTTTAATATGTAAATAATCCCACCAAAGTGCACTACAGCACTTAAGCAGTTCTCCTATTTGATAGATGAAGTTGCTATGATGTGTCACTATTTCAGGTAAGACCTGCTTGTTCAGATTTCTTCTATAGTAAAAATGGTTCAAACTGCATTATTGCTTGAAGTGGGATCTGTATAAAATATTCTAATGAAGCACTAGTCTCCAAAGCATGCAAGAAAACTTTAGAACCTGGTCAAGGGCTATCTATAGTTACTATTAGTACCCTTGTTTTGAATCAGAGCAATTGAGCTGAAATCACCACTGGTTTCACTAAAGCAAAAATGACTTGCTAAAGAGACTGTCTAGTATTTCAAAGACAAACATTCACTGGCATCTGTAGCTTCCAAGTCTCTATCATACAGGACTCACACAATCAAAAAAACCTCCTAATTCATAGTAGGACTTCTGAGCAAGTGTTAAATTGCACTATATCAATGGCTCCTGAACTTTATTTGAAAATACATCACTTACATATTATCTATAATGTATATAATCTAAAAGTATGAAAAAGTGTAAATTTATCTAGCAGTCAGACTATGTATTTTAATTATATTTAAACTACTTCAACACATTAATTTAAACTACAAAAAATATGATTTTTGAAGAATATTATATAAACTGCAGAACTGCAAATAGTAAAGAGACACTCCTTTCTTCCTGATTCCAGGAATTCACAGTTCTGTGATAGAAAGATACTCAGAAGCTCATAACCAGATGAGCACTACTGAATGTCATTATAATTAACAAGAACACGCAAAATGAATTAGTAGTTATGTTTATAATCAGTCCAAAGTTAAATGAACCAATGAAAAGATCTTCATAATAGCGTGATCTTATGAGCTTATTTTCACATACTATTTTACATTGCTACTTAGACAAATGAAAGCTACATTACCAGTGGGTCCAAATAAAAGTTCTGTGGAGCTAGGAGAAGCACATATTTTTTCATGTAGCACAGAGAAAATAATGAATTCCCATATGATTCTTGAGCTGTCAAGCTTCCTCTACTACTTATTTTCCAAATTTTTCAATGCTGTGTACTTATAAAGGTTCACATTATATTCTATACTACAAAAATTATTCTTGAATTTTTACAGCATGGAATTTCCTATGCAAAACACCCATACTCCATTAATCCATAAAATATGTAACTGTGCAAAGAAGTAAGCCAAGGATAGTAATAAAATTTACAAAAAATAATTAGAAATCTAATATTAAATGCCCTGGAAATTGCCTGGTGACAGAAAAATGTCCGCATGGATCAGTGCATCATCTACTACCAGTATGTTCCATCCCCTGTGCAAATGATGCACAGGTTGCATAAAACTCCTCTTGGGGAAGAGGGGCTGGGGGGGAGATGTTGCTCCATTTAGGTCTTACTTATCCTAAAGATTAACAGGACACCAATTACCTGTACCTATCAAAGCACACTGGAGAAAATGGAGACAGTACCAATGAATGGGAAGCCTGGAGTCATGGAAAAATCATCCCTCAGTCTTTTCTTCCAAAATATCCACAGCAATGTTGTCTGAATAGTTGGATATACAGGCTAAACCATCCCTGAGGCAGGTTTAACTTGCTTGACTTGCCCCTACATGATAGATAACCTGTGTTGACATTAATCTTATAAGTATGCACGATACCAATATCATATTTATAGAGATTTCTATCCAGTGTACACAGATACCATACCATACTTTATCCTCAGGCATGTCTGTTCTTTCCTCTGAAAACATATAATTTATTCTAAGACAACTCAGAGAAAAGCCAATTTCCATTTGTTGAATTTTCTTATTATAATAAACTGCAACAGTCCACACTAATTGGGGGAGAAGAATATAAACAAAAAAATGAAAGCAATTAACTATTCCTAAATAGTTTGTTCTACAGTACCACTAACACAATGGCATTGCAGTCTTGTGAATTACTTACAGAATTGTGATGTGTTTTTCCCTTTTTCTCCTGTGATGTGATTAGAAGGGATTCAGAAACGCTATCAGATAAGAATGTAGAACAACTTTAGAACGTAGTATTTCAAAAGTGCACATATATGGTGATCATCCTGAGCTAACATATCTAGTTTGTTCCTGTAATGAGATTTATAACGTACTAAGAC